CTACCCAAGCCTTTCAAGTATTTTGATTTTTGGTCAGAACATCCTGATTTTATGCAGATTGTGAAGGATGGTTGGGATACTCAGGTTCAGGGGTGCCTATTCATAGAGTTAAGGTCAAGCTAAATGAGGTTAAGAAAGGTTTGAAGAAATTGAATAAGGAAGTCTTTTCTGATCTGAGTGGTCATGTCAAAATGGCTGAGAGGCTCTATCTAGCTGCACACCAGGAGGCTCTAAGGTGTCCATCCACTGATAATTTTACAGAGGTCACTACTCAGCAGAAGAAGTAGGAGGAATTGAAAGTAGCAGAGGAAGGTTTGTATTGGAGAAAGGCCAGAATAAGATCTTTAACCATGGGGAACAGAGGCACCAGATATTTCCACCAATCTGTTAAAGTCAAGACTGCAAAGAAGGCTATCCGAAAACTTGTTCTGGATTCAGGAGAGGAGATTACAGATGTTAAGCTTATAGCTGGGGAAGCAGCTCTGTTCTATCAGTCATTGTTTGGGAAGGTTGATCAGGCAGTGAGTCCAAAAAAGATGGAGCTGGAGGCTCTGGTCACTAAATCCTTGTCTGAGGAAGAAAAGTCAATGCTTTGTGGGGAATTCACCTCTGATGAGGTTAAGTCAGTGATCATGCACATGAATCCACATTGAGCTCCTGGCCCTGATGGATTTTCTGCTGGTTTCTTTCAGAAAACATGGTCTATTATTGGAGAGGACATCACAACTGCAGTCCTTGACTTCTTTTCTGCTGGCAGACTGCCAAGTAGTGTCAATTCTACTGCTGTTTCACTCATACCTAAGGTAACTTCTGCCTGTAAACTCAAAGACTTTAGCCCCATTTCGTGTATCAATATTCTCTACAAAGTCATTGCTAAACTCCTGTCTAATAGATTAAAGAAAGTGCTCCCAAATATTATAAGTAACAATCAGTCAGCTTTTATAGAAGGGAGAAGAATAGTGGATAATATCCTTATGGCTCAAGAACTGGTTAGTAGTTATAGTAGGAAGAACCTTTCTTCTCGCTGTGCTATTAAAATCGACTTGATGAAGAATTTTGACTCGGTAAATTGGGATTACCTATTCTTAATGATGGAAACTATGGGATTCCCAGTAAAGTTCATGTATTGGGTTAAGCTCTGTGTTAAAACTTCCAAGTTTAGTATCTGTATTAATGGGGGACTTTGTGGTTTCTTTGGGGCAAAGAGGGGTGTAAGGCAAGAGGACCCCCTCTCCCCCTACCTATTCACTATTGCAATGGAAGGATTATCATCCTTGCTTAACAGAGCTGTTGTAAGGAAAAACCTTGTCTACCATCCACAGTGCAAACACATAGGGTTAACACACTTATGCTTTGCAGACGACCTTCTGATCTTTACAGAGGACTCTGCACAAGCAATATGCAGGGTACAAGAGTTGTTAAATGAATTCTACTCCCTTTCTGGTCTTAAATGTAATCCGAGTAAATGTGAAATTTATTTTGGGGGGCTATCTGGGCTTTAAAAAAGCAATGCTCTCCAGTTGTCTGGGTTCCAGGAGGGAAAGCTCCCAGTAAGGTACTTGGGACTTCCATTATTCTCTGGGAAGCTCTCTTCTGCTGACTGTGATAAGCTAGTGGAGAAGATTACTCACAAGATTGGGACCTGGCGTGCAAAGAAATTGAGTTATGCAGGTAGGCTTGAATTGATTAATTTAGTGTTCATGGGCCTGCTGCAATATTGGATGCAAGTATTTCTCCTGCCTAAGAAGGTATTAAAGAAAGTGTATGCTATTTGCTCGACTTTTCTTTGGCATGGGGGAATGAGGGTAGAGCAAAAATTGGATGGGATCGAATGGCTCGACCAAAAGCTGAAGGTGGTCTTGGCATCAAGGATCTCCTAGCTTGGAACAGGGCCTGTTCTATTCGAATGGTATGGCTTTTAATGATGAAGAGTGGCACAATTTGGGTTGCCTGGATGTGGAGATACAGAGTCAAACAGGGTAGTGTTTGGACTATGAATGTGAGTCCAAGTAGTTCGTGGGCATGGAGAAGGGTCCTCAAACTCAGACCAATGCTTCAGGCTCATTTGACAATGTCTGGTGATACTCCTAGTTGGGATGGTAAGTTGATGCCTGTAGATAAAGTGTCCACTATGTGGAATTCTTTGAGAACTGAATATCAAAGGGTAGAATGGGCTAAACTGGTATGGGGAAAAAGCATCTACCTAACAATAGTTTGCTTGCGTGGCTTGTCCTACTGGATGGTATCATTATTAAGGACAAGCTGGTAAGATGGGGCAAGACAATAGATGGTTCCTGTTTGCTTTGCAGGGGATCGGTTGAAACAAGAGAGCATTTGTTCTTTCAATGTACTTATTCTTTGCAGGTTGTTTCATGCTGGAGAGAGGGTAATTTGTTATGTAGACCAAGTTGGCAGGGAAGTGTGCAGGCTGCTGTTGCCTTGAACAAGAGGGAAACTTCGGCAGGAAGGCTTACAGGGATTTTCTGGTGTGCTTGCATTGCTTACCTGTGGCGTGAGAGATGCAGTAGACAGCACCAACTGCCACCCAGAGATGCTGCAACTCTTGGCAGATTGATAGTTTCTGACTTATTGTATCTGGGTAGTGTGGATAGTGATTTACAGGCAGACTTAGTTGCTGCTGGGTTTCTATAGGTTGAGTTGGGGGGTATCGAGTAGTCAGGTGGGAGTTTTTTGAGGGTTTGTTTTCTGCAGGGTTACTCACCTCGAGTGGCCCTTTTCGTTGTATCAGACTCTATATGTACATTGCATATAGTTTTGGTAATACAATTGCAACTGATTCAATGAAAAAAAAAAAAAGATAAACCCACTGCCAATGCTATTCTAAAGCAAATTGAACAATCTGGTATAAGCCTTCTCCGGCAATCCGCTCAGCTTTGTTGCTGGTCGTCTATCGAATATCACTTGAAACCTGCCCCACTCAAATATCTCAGTCCCTCAAAATCAAGGTAAATAAGCTACGTGAACGTGATCAGTCATAGTCATCACTTGAGGACCAAGACGAATCGGCGATTGGAATTGGAACGGTGACTATTGCTGGCTGATGAGGGCGACGGTGGTTGCGGCTGGCTGCTGAGTGCTACGGCTAGTCAACGACGGTGACTGCCGATGGCTGCTCGGTGGCGGTGCGTCTGCCTTTCGAGGAGAGGATGACTGGTCGAGTGGAGGAGTTTGGGAAGCAGGGAAGGGTTTGGGAATCAGGCGAACAGGGAGCGCTGCGCTGGGTGAAATGCGAATGGCCGAAGAAAGGGTTCTGGCTGGGCTGGGCGCCTAGGCCTGAAGGAAGATGGGAATGGCTTTCAGTTCAACCTGTGTAATTTTTAAAGGGTAAATACCTTATTTTGGCCCGAACTATGGCCATATAACCAATTTTGGCCTATGGTTTCAGAAATTAATATCCTGACCTCAACTATGCAGCATATAGACTCAATTGGCCCGACACATGGTTTGACCGTCAATTTGGATGGTCAACACGCCATGTCATTGCCTCGTTAGTCTAAAAATTATTAAAAAAATCAAATTCAAATTATTTTCCTAATTTCTATTATTTATCATTTTTTTTTTCGTTGAATCAGTTCCCCCTTTTATTACTTGCAAAAAAGGAAAGCCATTTGTAAGGCACAAACAACAAAACCAATACAACGAAGGAAAGCTCAAGGAGAGCAGCCCCAAAAGTCAAACTAAAACTGCCTACCATCTACTACCAGTACAGAATAACTCGTTCAATGTTTTTCCAACCTAACTCCCCTGTAAACCAAGTATCACCAACCCTTCAGTAAGACTGGCATTATCCTCACAGATAATCCTCAGATCACAGGTGATATCTCTGATCAAGACATCCACTCGCTTACTGTCATTCCCATACAAACGGCGACAACGTTCTCTCCAGATTCCTGCACAATAGAGACACCAAAGCAAGCCTGTGATCCTCCCCAGAGATGGCCTGTTACAACCAGCAACACCTGCAGCCATTGTTGCCTCCCAAGAGCTGCAACAGAAGATCCCCATTTGTACAGCTCGAACAACCTGTTGAGAGAATTCACACCTAAAGAACAAGTGCTCACGAGTCTCAGCTTCAGTGCCACATAACACACATAAGCCATCTGTCATCTTGCCCCAAGTCAGCAGCTTCTTCTTTGTAAACACAGCATCTAATATTATTTATCATTTTCAAATTAACCAAATATAAAATAAAATTTATATTTTGTTTTTTGGGATATTTGAAAATGATAAATTTTATAAATTAACCAAAAATTATCAAATTAAATTTAAAAAATATGATATAAATTATATATTTTATTTTTGGGTAATGTTAAATATATAAAATAATTTGATAATTTTTAGTTAATTTATAAAATTTATCATTTACAAATTACACAAAAAATAAAAAAACTAATTTATTTTATGTTTTTTATAAATTATTTTTTGTTAATCTGATTATAAATAATAAAAACTAAAAAATAGTTTGAATTTGAATTTTTTAATGAATTTTAGGCTGACGAGGCAATGACATGGCGTGTTGACTAACGGTCAATGGTGTTGACCATCCATATTGACGGTCAAACTAGGTGTCGGGCCAATTAAGTCTATATGTTACATAGTTGAGGCCAGGATGTTAATTTCAGAAACCACGAGCTAAAGTTGATTATATGGTCATAGTTCAGGCCAAAATAAGGTATTAATCCATTTTTAAATGAGTAAAACGGATATTTGCAGGTAACTCGCAGGTACCCATTGTGGGAATGTACAATCCCAAGTCCCATCCGTTAATAATTTTACGGATAATATAAGTACTCGTAACCCTCAAATAACGGAACGGGTACGAGTATACCCAAATACCCGTTTCCTGTTGCCCCCACCCTGCCTTTCGCGATCCAGCAGTAAGGCTCATGAATCATGACAACACCTTTGTAGACTGTGGTTAATCAACCCAGGAATCGTGACAACACCTTTGTGTGGCTCACCTCTAATGGGCGGTGAAGCTCACAAACTGTGGTTGAAAACTAAAACTCCAAGTCCCTATCACCTTCAGGCTTTAGGAGTTCAGGTGTACCCAAAAAAAAAAAAAGGCTTCAGCCACAAATTGGAAGTATCCAGAATTCATTGACCGAAAAAATCCCATATAATGGTCATAGCCACCTCTCTTCCTTTCATTTCACTTGCATAGTTGCATTGCATCCCTGCTTCCCCTCTCCCCAAACTTCACTACAGTTCATCTTGGTTCAGAATGGAGGAAGCCAGCATCGATTTGCAGCAGGGAAAACTAGTCGTCGGAGCTTTCGTTGCCATCGTTGCAGCGTTGATCATGGCGTTCTGGTTGATGATGAAAGGCAACAAACAACGACCAGCCCCATTGCCTCCCGGCCCACGCGGATTGCCAGTAGTCGGGTACTTGCCATTTCTAGGCACCCATCTCCACAAGAGCTTCACACAGCTGGCCCGAGTTTACGGCCCAATCTACAAGCTTTGGCTCGGACACAGAATCTACGTCGTGATTAGCTCACCTTCGCTGGTCAAGCAAGTCCGTGAACACGACGTAACATTCGCAGATCGAGATCCCTCTATTGCTTCCAAAATCCTTACTTTCGGCGGAAATGACATTGCTTTCGCCTCCTATAGCGCCAACTGGAGAAAGCTGCGGAAGGTTTTCGTGCGAGAGCTAATGAGCAGCGCCCGGCTCAATGCTTCCTACGTGCTGAGAAAGCGGTATGCCGAGAAGGCTATTAAAGATGTGTACCAGAAGACAGGTAAGCCTTTGGACTTTGGGCAGTTGACGTTTATGATAATATCGAACACTGTTCTTAGCATGCTATGGGGTAGCACGACACATGGAGAGGAAGGTGAGAAGTTGTTCTCGCAGATCCGAGAAGTATTAGGTGAATCCATGGTGCTACAAGGGGCGCCCAACATCTCCGACATGATTCCAGCACTCGCCCGGTTTGACCTGCAGGGGGTGGAGAGGAAAAGCAGAGAGACATTTCGGAGGTGTGATCGAATTGTGAGCTCCAAAATCGAGGAGCGGCAGAAACTAAGGGAAAGTGGCGACGACAACAGCATTAGCAAAGAGGCGAAAGACCTTTTGCAAATTCTACTAGACCTCAACAACCATGGAGATTGTGCTGCTGATTCATCTATTACAGACAACCAACTCAAAGGCATTCTCATGGTTAGTGCACCTGAACTTTGCTAAAGCTTTCCATTCAAATTGAAGGAGGTAACAGAAAATATGGCTTGAGCATATACCGTTGAACAATCTATCTTTGGAACAGGATTCTATCATCGGCGGAACGGACACAACATCGACCACGATAGAGTGGACGATGGCAGAGCTGATGCAACATCCAGACGCAATGCAAAAAGTATACAAAGAGCTTGACGAAGTAGTAGAAAGAGGCAATGTCGTGGAGGAGTTCCATCTCCCCAGATTACACTACCTAGAAGCAGCTATCAAAGAGACATTCCGACTGCATCCAGCCCTGCCTCTGCTGGTGCCACGATGCCCTACCGAGGACTGCCAAATAGGTGGATACACCATTCCTAAGGGAGCCACCGTGTTCATCAATGCTTATGCAATGCACAGGGATCCACAGCTCTGGGACAGTCCTCTGGAGTTCAGACCAGAGAGATTCCTAGACGAGAACGCGGCCAAGTTCGATTACTTGGGGAACAGTTCTCAGTATTTCCCATTTGGGATGGGAAGAAGGGTCTGCGCAGGAATTCCCATGGCCGAGAAGATGCTCAATTACATTCTAGCATCACTGCTCCACTCATTCGAATGGAAGCTAGCTCATGGGTCGACAGAGGTGGATTTGACTGATAAATTTGGAATCGTGGTCAAGTTAGAGAAGCCGTTAGTTCTCATCCCTACACCAAGGCTAGCCAATCCTGAGCTATACTACAGCTAGAACCCAATTGAAAAACAATTTCTGATGTTCTGTGCTTCCTGTTGTAATATCATTACTGCGTATAAAAAATCCAAGCTATGTTTGCCAACAATGGCTTCTCCAGAGTGAATGCAAGTTCAGTTACTCATGGAAATAACTCAATCGCTTCCAATTAATTCAACAAAATGAAAGAGAGACAGAGCTCTGGATCATTTCCATCAATGGCCATTATGTATTGCATCAGAGAGATATTCACAATAGCATTTGTATGGTGATTCCTCCCATCAATTAAAGGGGAAGAAAACGGAGAAAACCCAAAAGGGGGAAAATGGCAGAAAAAATCAAAACTGAAAGAAATTTTAAAATACCTACAGATCTAGGTTTTCGCCGCCGCAGGGGGAAAAAGGTTAGGCCTTCACAGCTCCGGGATCTTCAATGGAATCCCATCTCGATCCCATCATCATCATCATCTTAAACTCTTCGAAATCAATCGTCCCGTCGCCGTCACTGTCGACGCCGCTGATCATCTTGCGGCACTCGGCGATGGAGCAATCCTCGCCCAGACTGCCCATGACCTTGTGCAACTCCTCCGCGGTAATTGACCCGTCGCCGTCGATGTCGTAGACGGAGAACGCATCCCTCAAATTGACCATCGCCTCCTCGGAACCAACCCCCTGAGTGTTGAGCTCCACGAACTCCTTGAAATCGATGAACCCGTCTCCGTCGGCGTCGAACTCGGTGATCATTTTCTGGAGCTCCTCCTCGCCGGCCTTCTGGCCGAGGCTGGACATGATGGAGCCGAGCTCGGAGGCGGAGATCTTGCCGTCGCCGTTGACGTCGAACTTGCGGAAGACTTGCTCCAGCTCCTCCACCGGGCACCGCAGCATCGGCGGCGGCGGGGAGCCGGATCCGGTGAATGAGGCCACGGCGGCGGGGGAGTCCTCGGAAGAGGCCGATTTTTTGGACTTTTTCCGGTGGAACAGAGCGCGGAAACCCATGATCGGGAGGAGTTTGTTGGCCGTTGCGACGGTGGTTTGTGGGGAGCAAAATCGGGGGAAGGGAAATGGGAATGGACGGAGGATTCGGAATTTTTGCTGTTGGAGTAGTTATCGGAAGGATAACGGGAAATGGATTAGGGATTTATTTTTATTTTTTGAGTAAGAACAAATTTTATAGCTCGCTTTTTTTTTAGGATATATATTTTTGGTTTGATTTGCCTGCCAAGTTTTCGGGAGGAGAATAAGGGGCAGCTGCCTGTTGGAAATCGCTCCACAAGGCAAGATCAGCGACAAGCCGGAGAAGACAAAATTGAAAATTATAATTTGATATTGGGTTAATTGCGTGGTTGGCCACTGAGATTACAGAAAACGTAATTTGGTCATTCAAAATATTTAAATTCATTGATGGTACTTTAGTTTATTGAAACCGTTAACATTTGGTCACTCTCCATTCAACTCCATTAACCTTTGCTTACGTAGTGGTCAACTCTAAAAGTTGACTGTTAAATATGTGACGTGGCAGTTTAAAAATAATAAAGTCAGTAAAATTAATTTATTCAAAATTGTCATCTCATTTCCACCTCATTATCACTTTTATTTAAAATAAATAAAAACCTAATTTCTTCTAATCCCCAATACCAATACCCCGCCGACAGCACCGGAAATCTCAACCAAACATTCAGTCCGACTTTGAGCTTCAAAAAAACGACTACGGTAAAAAAACTGCCTCGTAAGAAAATCTAACCCAATATGGCAATATATAGTTGGCTTTTCCGAAAACTTCTTTGGCAAAATACACTTGGGTAGCCAAAACTTTGACGGTTTGGCCAAATATAGCTTGTTTTCGCGAAATACCAAAAATGGTCACTTCCGTTCAATTCTTTGACGGTGTGAATTAATGTGCTGACTGTACTAACGGATCGTCTGATCTAACAATTTTTATCTAGTACATATTTCCCACGTGGATTTAATTAAAATAAAATAACAATAAAAATATGAGGTGGAAAATAATAATAAAAATAATTAATGGTTTTTTATTTTCTCTCTCTTCCGATCTCTCTTCCTTCCCCTTCCCCTTCCCTTCCCCAACCAAATCTCTCGTTCCCCAAATCATCTTCTTCCGTCCCCTTCCGTCCCCGAACTATCTTTCTTCCTTCCCCTTCTCATGGAACAATCGTCGGCCACCGAGAATAGAGATATGATGGCGTCGACGTTGCAGCAAGAGCGACAGCGAGTCAGATCTGAATCGACCTGTCAGGCGGTTGGCGGTTGTGGGCAAGACCAGCGGATTTGACGGTACTCAATCCACGAAATTCGGTTGGGGGCAAGGCCAGCTGATTTGGGACGCTTCTTTTCTTCGTTTTCTTTTTCTTCTCTCCTCTCCTCGTGGTCATGTTTTTCCAATTTCTTCTCTCCAATTTCTTTTTGGTTGCTTTTTAAGAGAGTCACCACCACCCACCACCAAATCCCCAATTTCAACTCGCACACAAAAAGGATCCCTTTTCAAAATCCTTCTTCTTCTACGCATTTCCCAGACTGTTACGTTGCTTTGCTTGTTGTGAGTTACATGGAGTGGCAGGACAAGGGAGTATCAGGCGAAGGGAAAAGACATCAGCGGCGGGACTGCCCCTTGATCACAGACAAGATGAAGCAAAGAGGATGACGTCGGACTGCCCCTTGCCACCGTCGTCGAGTTCGCCATCTCCGTCTCTGGTGAGAACATAACAGAGATTTGGGGAAAGGGCTCGACTTTTGGGATTGGGCTTGACGAATGGATATTTGGAGATTTTAAGAAAAGAAGCTGTGTGGATGGGGTGGGAGATGTGACGATGGCGGGTTCGATGCAACGATGAAGTTGGGCGGTTGCTCTGCTATTTGCGGCATCTCGCTCCCGATAGCACCAATAGCTATCACTCTTCGGATAACACCAATAGCTATCGCTCCTTCGTCGAAGCTCCATTGAAGCGTCACCGATTCACCTATTGAAGCCCAAGCTGAAGGTGGATTGAATGAAGTCGCCGCCAGGGACTTCACCGAAGCTAAGAGGAAGAAATGGAGAGAGGTGGGAAGATGAGCATATGAGATTGGGAAACGAGCATATTGGTTTTTTTAATCTTTTTTCGGAGATTTAGGTAGGGTTAAAAAAATTTATTATTTTTTTACTTTTGTAAATGACGTGTCATCCACCTGTAACTCAGTGATGAGGTGGAATCGAAAGAGAGGGTGTGATGGCAGACAAGTAAGCTTTCTGATAATTTGACTAACGGTGTCATTCACGCCGTTAAATTATGTAACGAAAATGGCTATATTTGTCATCAAACTTTTAAAATTTTGGCTATTATTGGTATTTCCCCAAAAATGAGTATTATTGTCATAAACGTCAAAGTTTTGGCTACACAAATGAATTTTGCCAACTTCTTTCAGAAAAATGTGAACAAACACACAGGGGCAAAAGGTCTTCCCCATTGCTTTTTTTTAGCCACATCCTTAGTAGTTTGCGAGCCTTTCTCCAGACTGGGACTTGCTCCAGGGCTTTTCGCACCCGATACTGGAAAAACAAAAATGCAGCCCAAAAAATCCTTTATCTCTATTAAATATTAACTTCAACCGCTTCGTCAAATGGAGGTGACATCATCATTATAGGTGTCAAAACATAGCCCGACCCGATTAACCTGCCCGATAAACCCGACCCGCAACCCGACCGCAATCTGAATTGACTAAAAGTCAACAACCCATAACCCGCCCGACCCGCAACCCGATTGACCCGCAACCCAACTAACCCGCAACCCGACTGACCCGCAACCCGATTAACCCGAACCCGATTGACCCGCAACCCGACTGACCCGCAACCCGATTAACCCGAATCCGATTGACCCGAACCCGACTAACCCATAACCCGACCGAGTCAACCCGAATTTTGTCTAATCCACTTGAATAATTATAAAAATATACAATACATAGTTTTTCAAAATAAAGTTTTTCATTCTAAACTTAAGTAAAATTATTTTTTCATTGCGTATAGGAAATTTAAAAAATATGAAACTCACTTGTATTACGTATTTTAAGAAAATTACAAAAATTGAAACATGAAGGTCACTTGAGTAGGAATGGCAATGGGGCAGGTCCGGGGCGGGTTTCTTGGTACCCAGACCCGCCCCGTGGCAGGGCGGGTCCAGGTCGGGTAATTGATCACGGGTCGCGGGTCGGGGCAGGTCGACCCAATGGGTATGCAATTTATATGAAAAACATTAGAAATATTCGTTATTTTTATTATAATACTAAGAAAACAAACAATATTATGACAATTGTAGTTAAATTATTGGAGAAATTGAGATATTCACTAATTTACAACTTTATTATAGCTAAAATATGATGCAATAAAAGGAAATTTCGAAGTAATTTGACTAAGATTACATGTAATTTAGACAAGAACGGGTCGAGAATGGGGCGGGTCAGGGCAGGTCGGGTCGATGAGACTACCCATGCCCGCCCCGCCCCTCCTACGGGGCGGGTCGGACCCGCCCCAAAACAGGTCAAACAGGTCGGGTAAAACGGGTCAGGTCAAAATTGCCATCCCTACACTTGAGATCATGACAATATTAATATAATATATAAATTAAAATTTTGGTTAATCTAACTATTCAATAAAATTATCAATTAAATATAAAGTAAAGTAATGTATTTGGTAATTTGATGTTTTTAAAAAGAAGAGGGAAATTTTGGTGTATTCAAGTTTTTGAGAAGAGAAAGAAGAGGGAAATTTGGTTCTTTGATTTTTTTAGAAAAGAAACAAGTGGGAATTTTGGTGGTTTTGATATGTGGGAAGAGAAAAAAGTGGGAAAGTTTGATTCTTTTAATTATGAAAGAGAAATAAGGAGGGAAACTTTTGAGTTTTCAACTTTTCGTAGATGAAAATAAGAGGGTAATTTGGTTCTTTCAATTTTATGAAAGAGAAAGAGGAGGGAAAATTGAGTTTTTCTAATGTATGGAAGGAGAAAGAAGGAGGGAAATTTTAGTATTTTTGTGAAAAGAAAGAAGGAAACATATTTGGTGTTTTCAATTTTTTGGTTTTTCATAATTTTAGCTTTTGAAATATGAATCTTTAACTTTTATATGGAGGACATGACTAGTTAAAATTAATCTTATATGCTTTGAAGGCTAATATATATATATATATATATATATATATATATATATATATATATGGTTCAGACTCGTGTGCTCCAGACACATAGTATGCTCCAAGTTTTACACACCGTTGATCTAATCTGACGGTCATTATAAATTATGATAAAAAATTTTACAAAATACATATTAAAGATAATTGATCGGTTCCCTTACATTTTCATTCGTCCTCTTTAGTCCCCCAACTAAATATTCATTTACTTTCATATTCTGATACCTATTTTCTTCTATTGATAATTTAAACATCCCAAATTTGATGCTTTAACTTAAACATCCCCGTTCACATTTTCCCTTCATCGAGATTCTCAAACCCTCTCCTCTCTCCCGTTTTCATGTGCTCTATCTACCTCACTAATCCATATTCTCCCGTTCCTCCCTCCCACCACAACCCTTATTCCTCCTGCCAATCCGTCGCTACAATGGGGATCGATCTTCTCCTCACATGCCCAGGAAATCTGATGGAGGTAAGGCAGAGGATTTCCGACTTGTGGGGCGCGCGTATTAACCGACTATATAAGGGATATGATCGAAGAGATGCCGCCGGAGCTGGAGGTAGAACTACCGATGCCCTCCCTCGAATTCCATCTCGAGAAGACCGGTAAGAGTCCCTACTGAACCCCAAACCTCGAATCTCCTTGTATTTGGGACCTGATTTTGCCATTTGCCTTTGATTTCAGATGACCGGCTTCCCATATTGACCGACAGTGTGAGGAGAAGGATTGAAGAGATGCCGAAGCTGGAGGCAGAGGAGGAGGGGGAGAGTGGTAGGGTTCTTACGCCCGACAGCTTTTCCTTGTGTTTGGAGGCCTGATTTTGTGTTGTGATTGCGGATGACGGCCAGTTTCTCGAGGACAGCATGGCCTCTATGATCTCCTGCTTCAGGAAGATAAGCGAAACACTGAGCTCCATCCAGGAAAACGCTACAGCCGGTGGGAAACACTGAGCTCCATCCGTGAAGTACGACCTCGAGATGCCCGAACTGTGAGCAAACGGTCTGATTGAA